TGTTCCGCAGCAGTGAATTCCTCCATTGTGTCTTTCAGGTCACTTATCCGTTTTTCTGCCTCAGTTATCCTGCTCTTGATTCCTTCTAGTGTAGTTTTCATTTCAATTATTGTACTGTTCATCTCTGTTTGTTTGTTCTTTAATTCTTCTAGGTCTTTTTTAAACATGTCTTGCATCTTCTCCATCTTTGCCTCCATTGTTTTTCCGAGGCCCTGAATCATCTTCACTATCATAATTCTGAATTGTTTTTCTGGAAGGTTGCCTATCTCCACTTCATTTAGTTGTTTTTCTGGGGCTTTAGCTTGTTCCTTCATCTGGTACATAGCCCTCTGCATTTTCATCTTGTCTATCTTTCTGTGAATGTGGTCTTTGTTCCACAGGCTGCAGGATTGTAGTTCTTCTTGCTTCTGCTGTCTGCCCTCTCAAGAATGCAAGAGTTTTCTGTGCATTAATTTTGTATCCTGCTACTTTACCAAATTCATTGATTAGCTCTAGTAGTTTTTGGGTAGCATCTTTAGGATTCTCTGTGTGTAGTATCATGTCATCTGCAAACAGTGACAGCTTTACTTCTTATTTTCCGGTATGGATTCCTTTTATTTCTTTTTCTTCTCTGATTGCTGTGGCTAAAGCTTCCAAAACTATGTTGAATAAAAATGGTGAGAGAGGACCACCTTCTCTTATTCCTGATCTTAGTGGAAATGGTTTCAATTTTTCACCATTGAGAATGACGTTGGCTGTGGGTTTGTCATATATGGCCTTTATTATGTTGAGGTAAGTTCCCTCTATGCCTACTTTCTGGAGGATTTTATCATAAATGGGTGTTGAGTTTGTCAAAAGCTCTTTCTGTATCTATTGAGACGATCATATGGTTTTTCTCCTTCACTTTGTTAATATGGTGTATCACATTGATTGATTTGTATATACTGAGGAATCCTTGCATTCCTGGGATAAAACCCACGTGAGCATATTGTATGATTCTTTCAATGTGCAGTTGGATTCTGTTTGCTAGTATTTTGTTGAGGATTTTTGCATCTATGTTCATCAGTGATATTGGCCTGTACTTTTCTTTCTTTGTGACTTCCTTGTCTGGTTTTGGTATCAGGGTGATGGTGGCCTCGTAGAATGAGTTTGGGAGTGTTCCTCCCTCTGCTATATTGTGGAAGAGTTTGAGAAGGATAGGTATTAGCTCTTCTCTAAGTGTTTGATAGAATTTGCCTGTGAAACCATCTGGTCCTGGGCTTTTGTTTTTAGGAAGATTTTTAATCACAGTCTCAATTTCAATTCTCATGATTGGTCTCTTTGTATTTTCTATTTCTTCCTGGTTCAGTCTTGGAAGGTTGTGCTTCTCTAAGAATTTGTCCATTTCTTTCAGGTTGTCCATTTTTTTGGCATATAGTTGCTTGTAGTAATCTCTCATGATCCTTTGTATTTCTGAAGTGTCAGTTGTTACTTTTCCTTTTTCATTTCTAATTCTATTGATTTGAGTCTTCTCCCTTTTTTTCTTGATGAGTCTGGCTAATGGTTTATCAATTTTGTTTATCTCCTCAAAGAACCAGCTTTAAGTTTTATTGATATTTGCTATTGTTTCCTTCATTTCTTTTTCATTTATTTCTGATCTGATATTTATGATTTCTTTCTCTCTGCTAACTTTGTGAGGGGTTTTTGTTGTTGTTCTTCTTCTATCTCTAATTGCTTTAGGTGTAAGGTTAGGTTGTTTATTTGAGATGTTTCTTGTTTCTTGAGGTAGGATTGTACTGCTGTAAACTTACGTCTTAGAACTGCTTTTGCTGTATCCCATAGATTTTGGGTCGTCATGTTTTCATTGTCATTTGTTTCTAGGTATTTTTAAATTTCCTCTTGGATTTCTTCAGCGATCTCTTGGTTATTTAGTAGTGTATTGTTTATCCTCCATGTGTTTGTGTTTTTTACAGATTTTTACCTGTAATTAATATCTAGACTCAGCGTTGTGGTCGGAAAAGTTACTTGATGCAATTTCAATTACCTTAAATTTACCAAAGCTTGATTTGTGACCCAGGATATGATCTATCATGGAGAGTGTTCCATGAGCACTTGAGAAGAAAGGGTATGCTGTTGTTTTTGGGTGGAATGTCCTATAAATATCAATTAAGTCCATCTTGTTTAATGTATCATTTAAAGCTTGTGTTTCATTATTTATTTTCATTTTGGATGATCTGTCCATTGGTGAAAGTGGGGTGTTAAAGTCCCCTACTACGATTGTGTTACTGTCATTTTCTCCTTTTATGGCTGTTAGCATTTGCCTAATGTATTGAGGTGCTCCTCTGTTGGGTGCATAAATATTTACAATTGTTATATCTTCTTCTTGGATTGATCCATTGATCATTATGAATGTCCTTCTTTGTCTCTTGTAATAGTCTTTATTTGAAAGTCTATTTTGTCTGATATGAGAATTGCTAACCAGCTTTCTTTTGACTTCCATTTGCATGGAATATCTTTTTCCATCTCCTCACTTTCGGTCTGTATGTGTCCCTAGGTCTAAAGTGGGTCTCTTGTAGACAGCATATATGTGGGTCTTGTTTTTGTATCCATTCAGCCAGTCTATGTATTTTGGTGGGAGTATTTAATCCATTTACATTTAAGGTAGTTTGATAACTACCTTATCAAACAAAATAGGTATGTTCCTATTATCATTTTCTTAATTATTTTGGGTTTGTTTTGTAGGTCTTTTCCTTGTCTTCTGTTTCCTGTCTAGAGAAGTTCCTTTAGCATTTGTTGTAAAGCTGGTTTCGTAATGCTGAATTCTCTTAGCTTTTGCTTGTCTGTAAAGGTTTTTATTTCTCCATCAAATCTGAATGAGATCCTTGCTGGGTAGAGTAATCTTGGTTGTAGGTTTTTCTCTTTCAACACTTTAAATATGTCCTGCCCCTCCCTTCTGGCTTGCAGAGTTTCTGCTGAAAGATCAGCTGGTAACCTTATGGGGATGCCCTTGTATGTTATTTGTTGCTTTTCCCTTGCTGCCTTTAATATTTTTTCTCTGTATTTAATTTTTGATAGTTTGATTAATATGTGTCTTGGCCTGTTTCTCCTTGGATTTATCCTGTATGGGACTCTCTGCCCTTCCTGGATTTGATTGACTATTTCCTTTCCCGTATTAGGGAAGTTTTCAACTATAATCTCTTCAAATATTTTCTCAGTTCCTTTTTTTTTTCTCTTCTTCTCTGGGACCCCTATAATTTGAATGTTGGTGTGTTTAATGTTTGCCCAGTGGTCTCTGAGACTGTCCTCAATTCTTTTCATTCTTTTTTCTTTATTCTGCTCTGTGGTAGTTATTTCTACCCTTTTATCTTCCAGGTTACTTATCCGTTCTTCTGCCTCAGTTATTCTGCTATTGATTCCTTCAAGAGAATTTTTAATTTCATTTATTTTGTTGGTCATCATTGTTTGTTTGCTCTTTAGTTCTTCTAGGTCCTTCTTAAATGTTTCTTCTATTTTCTCCATTCTATTTCCAAGATTTTGGATCATCTTTACACTCATTACTCTGAATTCTTTTTCAGGTAGACTGCCTATTTCTTCTTCATTTGTTTGGTCTGGTCATTTTTACCTTGCTCCTTCATCTGATTTTTGTTTCTCTGTCTTCTCATTTTGCTTCACTTACTGTGTTTGGGGTCTCCTTTTCACAGGCTGCAGGTTCGTATTTCCCGTTGTTTTTGGTGTCTGCCCCCAGTGGCTAAGGTTGGTTCAGTGGGTTGTGTACGTTTCCTGGTGGAGGGGACTGGTGCCTGTGTTTTGGTCAGTGAGGCTGAATCTTGTCTTTCTGGTGGGCAAGACCGTGTCTGGTGGTTTTTTTCGGGTGTCTGTGACCTTATTTTGATTTTAGGCAGCCTCTCTGCTAATGGGTGGGGTTGTGTTCCTGTCTTGCGAGTTGTTTGGCATAGGGTGTCCAGCACTGTAGCTTGCTGGTCATTGAGTGGAGCTGGGTCTTAACATTGAGATGGTGTTCTCTGGGAGAGCATTTGCCATTTGTTATTACGTGGAGCTGGGAAGTCTCTGGTGGACCAATGTTGTGAACTCCGTTCTCCCACCTCAGAGGCATAGGACCTGACACCCGGATGGAGCACCAAAACCCTGTGAGCCACAATTTTGGGAAGTCTGAGGTCTTCTGCCAGCTTTCAGTAGGTGTTCTCTAGCAGTTGTTCCACATGTAGTTGTTTTTCTGATGTATTTGTGGGGAAGAAAGTGATCTCCACGTCTTACTCCTCCGCCATCTTGAAGGTCTCAGTCCTGTTGACTTTTTTTTTATTCAAAATATAAAATTTATTCAAAAGCAATAAAATAACAGTTTCTATGAAGTATGAACTGTGTATAATAAGTAAACACATCACAGTACCAAACCTGTTGACTTTTTAATGATGGCCATTCTGACTGGTGTGAGGTGATACCTCACTGTAGTTTTGATTTGCATTTCTCTAATAATTAGCCATATTGAGCATCTTTTCACGTGTCTGTTGGCCATTTTTTACATAACTTATGTTAGTAGCCCTAAAGAAAATAGCCTTAGAAGTAGATTTGCTGGGTCAAAGTTTATGTGCATTTTAAATTAGATATATATTTCCAAATCACCATTCAAGGAAGTGTCTCAAATTTGCATTCCCACTGAGAGAATATCAGGGTGCCTCTTAATCCACAACCCCATCAGTATTATCTGCCTTTTTAAGCTTTGCCAGTCTGATGGGTGTTTTTATTTGTATATACTTAATTAGTAACAAAGATAATATCTTTATATATTTATTGGCTATTTGAAGTTTTTAGTGATTCATACCTTTTTCACACTTTTCTGTTGGATATTTTTGTGCATTGAAAGTTATTTGTGGATTCAGGTCACTAACTTTGCCTGTCATATGTGTTTCAATATATTTTCCTTGATTGAGATATGACTTTTATTATTTGTTTATATTATTTTTTGTTCCTTTCTGAATATGTTAGAAGTAGGAACTTCTATTGACTTTTTATTTTTTCCTCAGTTCCAGTGTCTCGCCCTATCCTCACCCTCAGGGCCCCCAGGGCCCAGGCTGTGGTGGGGGATGTGGTGGAGCTTCACTGTGAGGCCCAGAGAGGCTCTCCCCCGATCCTGTACCAGTTTTATCACAAGAATGTCACCCTAGAGAGCAGCATGTCCCACTCTGGACAAGGAGTGTCCCTCAACCTCTCACTGACTGCAAATCATTCTGGAACCTACTCCTGTGAGGCCGACAATGGCCTGGGTCCCCAGTGCAGTGAGGCAGTGACACTTTCCATCACAGGTAAGTTTCCTATTCTCAGGCCACAGATGTGGCCAAAAGATTTCCTCCTAGGATACTCTGATAATCCTTGTAATGCCTGACCAGGACAGTGTTTCTCAGGGACAGGTACACAAAGCTAGATGTTCTCCAAACTGTTATTTTCATTAAGTGTTTCTGAAGGCTTGTCATTTGGGTGGGAAAGGAGGCTAAAGAAGACCACCGAATTTAATACTCTTCAGCTAGCATCATCCATCCTGACCCTCAACCCTTGCATCAGCCACAGACATGAGCTTCCCCCCCAAGAGAAGTTCCATTCCCTGTGCCACACTTGCACCTCATTAGCCTCAGGAGTCCTGGTCCCCTCAGTTCATCCTCTCTCCCAGGCATCAGCTCCAGGGATCAGGGCAGTTCAAGACCACAAGCCTCTCCATCTGGCTCATGCCTGGGGTCTCCCCCTCAGGGCTGACAGGGAGCAGAAGTGGCCCTGTTGCCACCAGTGTCACCGGGGGGCTGCTCAGCATGATGGGTCTCGCTGCCGTAGCACTGTTGCTCTACTGCTGGCTCCCGAGAAAAGCAGGTGAGTAACTCTCTGGTTAACCTTTGCTTGAGTCCCTGTCCTTCCCATCTCCATTCCCTCAGGCCCATGCTGCCTTTGGAACCAACCCCAAGCTCTCAAAACCTCCTTTCTGCACAATTCCACAGCTCCTACCTTCCTCTCTAGTTCCTCCAGATTTGTCTTCATCAAATGCAAAGTTTCCAGAACAGCCCTATTGGGTGTAAGATGTCTTCACAAGATGTAGTTTATCTGACATGACAAATTACAGTGTCTTTCCCTCTCTACCCTTACAAGACCCCCAAGGAACGGAAGAGGAGAAGAAAAACTCTGAGAAATAGGAGTGAGAACAGAAACCAAATGTAATTTGATAACTTACTGATTTTGTAAATGTATGGTACTTTCATAGCCGATCAAGTCTATTTTCCCACATTCAGCTATTGACCATTGTTCTTCACAAACTCCACGTTAAAAGATTATGGATTGTGGGCTACCCTTTTGTATTATAACTATACCCCTCTGGAATCCAGGATCAGTAGTTTTTGCCCAATCTGCCACCTCCCTTGGACATAGCAAAGGAGGGTTCACATCTTAGAGACAGTGACTCCTGGAAGGTTCTAGGTGAGCCTCCTATGAGCTGTGCTCCTTGTGAAGTCTTCCTTCTCCTGGACTCAATGTCTCTCTGCTTTCCTTTGCAGGAAGAAAGCCTACATTTGACTTCTCCAGGTAAGACCTGCCTATATTGCTGTATGGTTAATGAAATGCCCACCAAGCATGAAAATGGAATTAAATCTGGTTACTGCTGAGAGCACGGTCACTGCTTCATGTCACTGAGATGGGTTGTGCCAATTTCATGTGGCCACCTCCCTTGGGATATCTCAATTCCCAGGACCTTCTCACCCATCAGCTTAGCTAAATAGGTCTTTTTCTTGCAGCAAGTGTTAATTGCTTTTTATTTATTAACTTACATCCTTGGTCCAATGTTGCCTTGGTTGTTTGAGTGTTTGAGTGACACTATGACCACTGAATCCATCCGTTTCCTAAGATGGTCTTAGCTTAATCAGCCTGGAAAGCTCTGGTCATGGCCAACCCAACCTAACCAACATCTGTTGTGATGACAGCCAAGAAGATGGAGTCATGCAACTTGGCCACCCCGAGAGACCTCTCTGCTAACAGGAGGTGGTGCCTGTGAAGAAGGGGCTGCCATCTTGGATTCCAAAGGCTGACTTTAGGAGTCACACCACAGCTCACAAACTATCCCTGGGCAAGCTTATGGTAGCAGCATCCAAACCATCCTGAGTTCCTCTGAGCCTTTTTGTTTGTTTGTTTGTTTGGCCATGCTGCACAGTTGCAGGATCTTAGTTCCCCCACCAGGGATTGAACCCGAGCCCTTCTTAGTGAAAACACCAAGTCCTAACCTCTGAACCACCAGGGAATTCCCATTTGAGCCTTTCTAATTATGGATTTCACTCAGATACTGATCTCTCTCGGAGTGTAGACCTTGGAGCCAGGTTTGATTCTTGGCTCTTTCCCTTTCTAGTTACATAGTCTTGAGCAAGTCATTTTACTTCTCAGAACCTCCATTTTTTCCATCTAAAAAATAGAGATAATAATAGAATCAACTTAATATTGTTATAGGCACTAGCACAGTGACATACAGGTGATCATAAAGTCTGGATTAATATTATGATTTATAATATAATAGTCCATAACAATAGACCATTTTTTATAGGCTCATCTATGTTTCCAGGCTTGGCAACTATCCTGTGGTAAAGACTCACTAACAGGGAATGATCCTTACAGCTACTTCATCAGGATTCCTGGGAAACAACAATGCTTCTATCTTACAGGAACCCATCAGCTTCAGACCCGCAAGAGCCCACCTACCACAATGTACCAAGCTGGATAGAACTGCAACCAGTGTACAGCAATGGTGAGGACAGAGGACCCTCCATTTGGGCAGGGACACCAGGGTTGGTCCAGGAAGTGGTGGGACAAGAAATGAGGAAGGGACAGTACAGAGGCCTGGAGGGCTCTGCCACCTCCAGAGAACAAACTCTATCTGGGGGAGGAGGAAGTAGCAAGACAAGGGGCAAGAACCTTAGAGTCCTCTCAAACTTCAACTTCTCTCCAAGTAAATCCTAACAGAGGAGACGTGGTGTACTCGGAAGTCTGGACCGTGAAGGTGGAGAACAAACAGGCAGGTAAGACCCAAGGACCCTTGATTTTGGCGGTCTATTGCTATGTGTGGCTCAGTCTCTACCCCTTCAGTGGGTCTGGGCCAACCAGACACAGAACTGCCCCTCAGGCTGGGTCACTGGGCTTCTTACTTTGTGCCCACCTACTCTGCTGCGATTAACCCAAGCTCACCGTGCAGAGCTGCTTTCTCCATTCTCCATGGATGGCCTCAGCATCACTTGAGTAACAAAGTCATCACCCTGGGCAGTCAGCCCCTCAGAGCTTCAGTGTCCCATCTGTGAAATGAGACAGGACTGTCTATCATTCCCTACCTACCTGTACCTGTTTTCTACTGCTGCTGCGGCAAATGACATGAGGGCCTAAACAATACCAGTTTATTATCTTACTGTGCTGTAGGTCAGAAATCTAACACGGGTCGCGCTGGGCTAAAATCAGTGTTGGCAGAGGTCCTTTCTGGAAGCTCCAGGGGAGAATGCATTCCCTTGCCTTTTCCAGCTTCTAAAGGACACTCTTTTCCTTTCTGGGGCTCATGGTCCCATCCCTCCAGCTTCAAAACCAGCAAGTGGCACCTCTCTAACCATTTCTTCCATAGTCAGTGCTCCCTTTGACCACAACTAGAAAAAGTTCTCAGATTTTAAAGTTCTCCTTAAAATTCCACCTGGATAATCTAAAATAATCTCACCATTTGAAGGTCCTTAATCTTAATCACATCTGCAAAATCCCTTTCTCCATCTTAGGTCACATATTCACAGGTTCCAGGTATCAGGACATGGACATTTTTGTGGGAGACATTATTCTGCTTATCACACTCTCTCATAGGGTTATTGTGAGGATCAAACGAGGAAGTAGATGTGGAGATGCTATTACAGCAGCAGAGTTTAAGCAGCTTTTATAATGAGTATATGCAGGTTGTCTGTCTGTGTCAGTAGTCCTCACTCATGGTAGATGGTCAGCCATGAAGAATCCCAACCTGGTTTCGTCCTGCTCAGAGCAGGAAAGGGAAAGCCTTTGGGGCTATTCTAACTTCGTTCTGTAAAAAGTGCGATGTGATTTTTAGCCATTCTGCTTCCTTCTCTGGTTTTTTGATTCTTCTTGTATAAAATTAAAAGAACTCTATTTTGTTCCATTCTTGGTTCAGTGGCCCACCTCTAAAACATATGAACTCATTCACACTTACAATCTCCTTCGATGTGTGTTGTTGTTACCCCATTTCACAGATGAGAAAACAGAGGCAGAGAGACCTTAAATGACCAGCCTGAAGTCACAGAGCTAACAAATGACAGAAGAGTCTGTCTCTAGAGTCCAAGCCTTAGGCCAAGCTCTGCTTCTCAGGGCAGTTCCAGGGAGCCTTGAGGCTCTTTCCAAGCCAAAAAGAGAAAGCCTTGCTTGATGAATGCCATATTTCATTACAGCTTTAAGACAATATAATAATAATAACAACTTCTATTATCATATCAACATGTATTGAGCAGTTCCTATGTGGCTGGTACAGTTCTGAGTACTGTAAATAAATACATTAAAAAAATATATATATATATATGCCATAAATATGTACACACACACATATATTTAAAGTTTGTTTGTTTATAGCCCTCAGAAGTGTACCTGCACATTGGAACTGCTCAGCACATAACAGATGTTAGAAATCAAACACACACACACACATAACCCTATAGGTAGGTATTATTATTCCCAACATACAGATGAGACACCCGAGGCAGGAGATACTGAGTGACTTGCCCAAGGCCACAGAGGTGGCACGGCTGACCTGGGGCTCAGTCTGGGGTGGTCTGGATCAGAAGTCTGCTCTGAACCACTGCACTGCCTCTGCTCCAGGCCAGGCTGCTTCTCCATAATATATACTATGAATCTATGATCAAAGCATGAACAAGATAAAAAGTAGATTTCTTTCTTTTGAGAGTCCCTGGGGAGCTCAGCATGAGGAACAAAGAGTGGAGTGATGCTGAGGAGAGAGTTGGTCGAAGCTGTGAGGTTGAAGTTCTTAGGAAAGGTTCAGTGCAGCCACATGGAGATGGCTGTGGCTGGGCTGATGGCACAGATGCAAGGAGAGAGTTCTGAGTTCACAGATGAATGCCTCCTTTCTTTCCACAGCAGCCTCTGACCCAGAGCTTCTCAAGAACATGGTGAGTCCCGTGACCTGTGTACTCTCCCACCTAGGGCCTGCTGGCCTCTGGCCCTCACCTATGTGCTCCTTCCCCCAGGATTCCTGCGTCATCTACTCCCAGGTGAAGGGGGCTTACACCGCAGCCCCTAAACCCCAGCTCTTGGCTGCATCCACTCCTCACAGATGAGTCCACGCAGCTCCCGACTGCTGTCTCAGCCTCTGCACCCAAAGCCACCCTTGGGGGAGAAGGGACATCAAAGCGGGAAGATTTAAACCTTGGGTCCTAGACCCAAGGCCACACCCAGCAACCTGTGCATCAAGTGCCCACACCCTAGTGTGAACAGAACACAGGGCCCCGCAGGACTCCCACCTATTTCCAAAGTGACAGCCCTGGCCCAGTGGTCTTTTTCTTAATGCCATGTGCTCCCAACCCAGGGCCCATGATGTTGCCTGGCTTCCTTAGTGAACTTCAGCTTTGGTCACTATTCCGAGTCCTACTCCCATACACATCCCCACCATTCCTCCATGAGGACTGCCCCTAAAATCTGCCACGGATAACCTGCTTTCAGTGGGTGCTTTTCTCAGTTGCCGTCAGTCTGGTAAGGCTACAGTGGGCTCTGCCAAATGGGACAGCACACACCCGTGGAGACATGGACACTGGGCTCGTCATGGACCTCCCCATGATGGGACTGCATTCCACACTCCCCCTGTCTGTCTGAAACTCTAAGCTCAGAATCTGACACCAGGATAACTCCTCTCCTGCCCATGTGCCAATATCTACCTGCCCAAGTAAGTGGATTTCACACCCTAGGTCCTAGATCCTTCCCACCCTGCCAGAAGTAACCCAGGACAGTCAAGGCCAGGAGGACCAGAGATGCAGATAGAATACATATTGAAATATAGGAGGTGCTCTATTACTATTTGATTGATTGAATGAATGAATAAATGAGGAAGATATTATGGGTCATTATGGTGTATTCCTACCCTCAAACTGGCATCTGATCCAGTGTGCTCCCTAGTAAATCCAAGAAGTACTCTTTTCTCTTCCCTGAGTAGGAAATAAACTAAGGGAAGGAGTTTGAGTGAGGAAAGCTGTGTTCAGCAAGCAGGAAGCCTTCTCAAACTTTAAAGTGCTTATGTAAGGAGGGTGGGAGGGAGACACAAGAGGGAGGGGATATGAGGATATATGTATACATGTAGCTGATTCACTTTGTTATACAGCGGAAACTAACACAATATTGTAAAGCAATTATACTCCAATGAAGATGTTAAAAAAATAATAAAATAAAATAAAGTGCTTATGGGTCACCTGGAGATCTTGTTAAAATGCAGATTCTTATTCATTGAGTCTGGGTGGAGGCTAAGATCCTGCATCTATAATAAGCTCCCACGTGATGCTGATGCTACTGATCCTAGGAGCATACTGAGTACCCAGGCCCATGAAGAAGTAGCGTGGGCTCTGGCTGCCCACTGCCCGACTCCATGGGGGCCACTCACGTAGATCACATGCTCCCTGCACCATCCTTCCACTAGAACACCATCAGATCCTGCTGCTAAGAGAACTTCTCAGCAACATGCTGGGTTTCATCAGCCTCCCTAGGTCAGTAAAAAGCAGCTGCCATCATCTTCGTTTCCCCACCTCAGGCCTCACACTTTCCCATAGAGGAAATGAATACACCGTGAATAAATATACCTCTTAGCCTTCTCCATTCAAAGTTGATCTATCTCGCCTCTGAGCCATGGGATGTTTTGCTCCATTTTTATGATGTCCATCACACCTCATCTTGATCTCCACCCTCCGGTGGATTGTACAGGGGGAATCTTTTCCAAGCCACATTGCCTGGATTAATAAAATCCTTGATGGGGCATTCATGGCCCTTCTCCACATAGTACCACCTACTTCCCTCTCCAGGTTTTTCCATGGTCATTGTCCTCCACACCCTACACTCAATCACCAGGTGATCTTCCCCATTTTCTAACATAGCCACTCTGCACTTCCTCCTCTTAGCCTTTTCCATCATTTGCATATGCTAGAATCCTGCTTATTCATTGAGCCCCAAGTCAAATGTCAGCCCCTACTGGAAATGATCTGTCTTTGGACTCCTATAGCACTTGTATACCGTGAGACATGGAATCACTAATGGCTGATGTTTGGAGGGAACTTAGAGTTTATCTAAGCCACTTCTTTAATTTTGTGGTTGTAAATTGAGAACGAAAGAGGTAGAGCAACTAGCTGAAAATTAAATAACGAGTTAGTGGCAAAGCACATACTAAATTAAACCCAGGACTCCTGGTACCCAGGACAGTGCTCTTTCCTTTACACGGCTCCTCTGCTACAGAGACGTGTGCATTTTTGTGTTTCTCCAACAAGACTGAGAGTTCCTTAAAAGCAAAGCCCAAGCAGCCAGCATGGTACCTGGCATTCAATTGGTGCTCAATGAATTGTTGTCGAATTGGATGTCCATTAAATCCCCCTGATGAATAAACATCACCTCTACAAATTTGTCTATATCATTACCTGCTCTCTCTTAACCCAAAGAAGTACAACACATGTCCTTCAATCTTAGAGTTTTTAATAATCCCAATAAAATCATTGCTACAAGGTCCACCTGTCAGTTTGAGATGAATGCTGTGTATTGTTCAAAACAAGAACAAGATACTTGCATGAACTGCAGGTATCTAAAACACCACACAAAACCCAATCAGTTGTCCCCACAAAACTTGCTCTCCTTACTGTGTTCTTTTTCTTCCTTCCTTCCTTCTCCCCCTTCCCCCTTCTTCTCCTTCTTCCTCTTTTCTCTCTCTCTCTCTCCCTCCCTCCCTCTCTTTTCCTTCTTCTTCTTCTTTTTCTACTTGAAGATAGCACTCTACCCACTCACCCAAGACAGAAGATGCATAGCCGTCTGTGAGTCTCTACATTGAATTGGCCACCCAAGCCAATCCAGTCAACTTTCTTTTCTTTCTTTCTTTCTTTCTTTCTTTCAGCTGCACCACACAGCATGCGGGATCCTAGTTCCCCAACCACCAGGGATCAAACACGGGCCCCCTGCAGTGGAAGCTTGTAGTCCTAACCACTGGACCACCAGGGAATTCCCCGTCAGCTTTATTTTTGAGATATCTCTCAAATCACATCCTCCTTTTAGTTCCTACTGCCACTTCCTTAGTACAGGCCTTCATCACCTACCACCAGCATTACATAATAGCCTCGAAACTGGTTTCCCAACTTCCAGATTCTCTCTTTGCATAACCATCCCCAACAGATTTGCCAGTTAGACCTCCCAACAGAGTTGCTAATATGACCTTTCTAAAAACCAGCTCTATTTATTCCTCTGCTTGAAATCCTTCAATTATCCAGATTTCAGGCTCTATCAGTGGACACAAGGGTCTTCAGGATTTAGTTCCAACTTACATTTTCAGCTCCACCTCCCAATATCCCCTTTAACAGACAAGAACACACACCATGTGCTCCTGTCACACGAACTTCTTTTCATTTCCTATACACACCACCTTCTTTCAAGCAGCCATGGCTTTTTTCCTAGTAACTTTCCCCTTTTTGTTTGGTCAAACTCACTCATCCTTCAACACTTAGTTCAAATGTCAATACTCAGTGAGGCCTCATTTCTCTCTATAACCTTTGGCATCTATGTTTCTTGTAGTCCTTACAAAAGTGTGTGTGTGTGCGTGTGTGTGTGTGAGTGCATGCACCCACGTGCTTCTCTCCCTGGACTACTTAAAGCCTCTCTAGGGTTGAGTGTTATGGTTAGTTCTATTTTATAACCCTCCCCTCATCCTCGCATCATGCCCAACACACAACACAGGGCCTGGTGAATCACAGATGCTCAATTCATAGTGAATAAATGAATGTGCAACAGTGTTGAATGGACTTTTCCTGTTTCCCTCAGAAAAACGCTTAAGCCCCAAAGCTGAGCTCAACAGTCGATAGTAACTCACATGTTCTGAAGAGGAGCTTCTGGACACATCCCACAGGATTGACTCAGAAGTGGCCACATGACCCTTGGGTACTTCCCTGGTTCCTCACACCTCCTCTATCAGCTGAGATCAGAGTTCATTGAAAGGGGTGATGGAGGAGATGGGTGGTCTGGTGAGAGGCACTGGGTGTTTTACTTTCCCTCCCAACTCCAGCCAGGGGAAGGCAGGACTCCTAGATAATGGCTTAAAGAAGGGAAGACAGCCCCTCATCTCACCACTCAAGGGGAATTGTTGAGCCTCAGGTAGAGAGCAGAGCCCGGTGAGAGAGCTTTTAAGAAATCTTAACACAAGTGCCCTGGGGTTTGGGGATGTTAGAGAGCACACTATTCCCCACTCCTCTCATGGGAAGGGAGTTCCATTAACACCACACTCCTGGCCTCTAGTGGTCCAGCCCCTCTGTCTTCTTTTCTCATAGCCAAGAGCAGCCCACAGGACCATGTGTTCCCCTCTGTCCTAAGTTTTAAAAGACCTGCCTCTACAGAGGGATACTTACAGTTTCACAACCCCAACCTCAAGGTTTAGCATAGGAGGCTTCAAACCCTGAGAAACAAAAATGGAGAATTCAGAGGAGCAAAATGCATAGCAAGAGATGGAGGCTTCTGCTCGAAGCAGGGCAGACGGCTCTATGCTTTGGTGGTGCTTACCAGGCAGAGATCATATGGGTTTTTTACTGTGTTTTTTTTATGACAGTGTATTGGAGTTGACTTCTGGCTGCTGAACTTGAGACAGGAGCTTTAAGTCTTAGGCTGTGGTGTTTTGTGGCAGGGCACTAGAACTTAGACGAGGTTTTGACTGAAGGCTGTAGGGCTGGGGATACACACACTGACCATTAAGCAATGGGGAGCAAGTGCACTGGACTCTTCTGGGTGCAGTGGCCCTGGACACCACCTACACTATTCCCATGGTTGTGTATTCAGGAAGTTGCTTCTGCCAGTCAAGGGTTCCTGTTCCTTATGGCACTTGGGGGCATGACTTGACAACACCTCCCTCACACACATTCCATGAACCTTCCACCTCCACTCCGGGGCTCCCCTATTGGGCTGAAGTGCAAATGTGCAGGGAAGTTAACTTTGGGATATTGAAGGCAATGGATAAATGTTGCTCCTTTTGTCCTCTCCACAGCCCCCTCCCTAAATGCACCATTCAGAGATGTAAAAGCTTTATTTATATGACCTCTCCGAGGACTCCTTGAGTGACCAAGCAATCAACCTATTGCAAAACTGTGGCCAAGTTGGGTCTACACATTCTTAAATGTGTTCTTCTTTCCCAGCCTCCCTCCTATTCCCTCTCCCTTCTACTTCCCTGGGATTATACTCACCCACAGTATGTTAG